AATAAACACATAGATTTAACAAGTAAATATTGTATGTAATTTTTGAAAGATATTTTATGTAAAACGTTTATGTAATCATTGCTTAAGATTTAAGATTATACGTTTTTTTAGTTCTGAAGTAATTGTAGTTTGACTTATTTGATACAATATGCCACATAATTTTAATTTTTAATAAATTGTTTAAATGTTCCTTAAATTAATATATAGAGGAGTAGGTTTTTATTAGGTCGAACCGATCGGTTACAGTTTTAAGTCGGTTTGAACCTAAACATAATCGAGAACCTCTCGGTGTATTTTGTTAAGTCGGTTTACAGTATTTTTGTTCAAAGGTTGTCTATCGGTTTATGCCTTGATTCGGTTCAGTTTGGTTAGGAATAAATACCCTAGGCCTCAAACTCTGCGATGATTTGCATTCACTTTTCTCTCTCGCCGTCCTATCAACAAATCAAACTATGATGATGAAGAGAAGTAAAGAAAATTCAAAGTCCTTCCCGATTGATCTCATTCTCGAGATACTTTCGAGGTTGCCTGCAAAGTCAACTGGAAGGTTTCGTTGCGTGTCGAAGCTATGGTCGTCCATGCTTCATCGTCCATATTTCACAGAGTTGTTCATGACCAGATCTGTTTCTCGTCCACGTCTCTTATTCGCCCTCGAAGAACCCGACGAGTGGAGATTCTTCTCGTTGCCTCAAACAAACTAACGATGCAAAGCTACTCAAGTCAAGCATCTATGCTCAATCTGTGAAGAACAACTACGAAGCTGACAACCCTCCTTAAGAACAAGAACGTATCATTAGCTAAGCTAGAGTGAGTCTATCTTTTTGTCGATTTTGTTGTTGGCTAAACTGATCGGGTGGCCAAGCCAAATTCATGTAATAGAGACTATCTAGTTTTTGCTGTGAGTGTGTGTGACTTGTCATTTACAGATTTTAGTTCTTCTGTGTGAGCTTTATCACTCTCTTGGCTTTAGCATTTTGTTATTTCAGGTTATCTATTGATTTTCTTGAGTTACATCTTTAATATTTTCTTGAATGATTGCAAAGGGTACAAATCAAAATGATTTTGTCAAAATTTGTTTTTCATTTACAGTCATTAGTATTAAGGACTTAGAAGAAGTAAAAAAGAGATGTCCCTAACAAGAGAGAACAATACTTAAACCATTATTCTCTGCAATGAGATATGATTTAAGAGAAATTTGGACTCCCAAAGATAAAAAGAAAGTGAGGGTTACTTTGACCTTTGGTGGAATTTGACTATCTTCTCTGAGATTGTAATCAATGTCTCTAAAGATTATATTATGTGTTCAAGCTTACCAACTTTTGTATTTTTTTTTTTTTGTATGAAAATAATGTTGAAATTTATTCCAGCCAAAAAAACAAATTTTTTACAATATATGTTTCAGTTTGCTTAAAAAAACAGAGGCTTTGAACTAGAAACAGAGGATTTTGAGCTGTTGAGAAAATTTCAGAGAAACCAACGTCAAGAGCTTCGAGGACTTAAATTGATGACTCTGCTTTTACATCCTCGTACGTGAGATCACCAGTGGCTCTTATAGAGCTTAGCCGATTTCTCATGTTCTTGTCAATGAGCTTGACAACACGTGAACACGTGGCCCTCACCGGTTTCGACGGCGTGACAACCATGACGATCGGTACTATCAAGATGGCAGTATGTGCCGGCGGAATAACCAAGATCGTTAAGTTCGTGGTCATTGACAAATCATGGGGACGCCCTGGCTCTTCTCTCTCCGAGCGGTGTCATCGACCTATCATCAGTGCATCAAATTCCAGACCCCAACAGGAGTCTACACAATCCGAGGATGCCAGAGGGTTACACGCTTGTGCTTCATCACCGAGCAGAAACTGCGACGGGTATCCTGTCGCATCGTTAACTTAAAGGAGGACCAACTGTCCCCCGAGCCACCACAAGAGTCTATCGTCCAAGTTTATAT